ATAGACTTCAAATAGCTGGTACTTCTTTAGTTTAGTTATTAGAAACCTCTGTTGTATTGCTCACTAAGGCAGGGTTATGTCCTCCTGCTGAAGGAGTGGAAAAGGCTGTACATCATAAAATGTAAATTCAGCATCAAACACATAAGAAAGGGAAAAACAACCTGACAAAAATCACAACTAACATCATTCCACAGCAGTGCTGAAGGCGTAGGGCCAAGCACTTACACATCAAGTGGTTCACTAAACCTCAGCTTTTCTTCTTTGCATGCAAGCACTGAGACAGAATATGTGTGATAAGTCTCTGTTCTGGCCAAGTGGCCACACTGGAAAAACAGAGCAGAATTAAAATTCAAACTGCACGGATAAAAGCAATTCTAACTTTAGCACCTACTTGCTACAGCATTACCTCTCGTTTTATTTATAACATATTACCTTCAACACACTTTGTTGGTCATGGCTAGTCAACACTTCCTGTTTTAAGGCCACATTTTCAGTTACTCCCAGCTTGCCAAAACCTTTTCTTTGGAGCATGATTACACATATTGCCCCCTCCAGATTATTTTGGTAGGAAAAACAGAACAAACATGACTCAGTCATTTCTAAGAATGATCACGGGGAACATATGTTTTAATTATATTCAAAGAATTCTTACAACAGCTTTCAAGAAACTTCTGCACATTTTAGAAACAGGGACATGAAATTTAGCAAGGAGGCTGTGCTGGTGTCACTACTGGGAGTTTTTGCTCTTCCTCTGAAAGGACACACAGAACTTGGCACATGTTGAATCTTTTATAAGACTGACCTCGCACATGCTTACCAGACTTGCTTTTAGTGGCCAAAATTTTCAGCTTTCTCTCCATTGCACAGACATGCAGAGAGTGAGCTGGATGGTCCCCACAGCAGGCAGCTGATTGCCAGGCTGCCACACACTGAAACTCAAACAGGGTAGTAGGTTATTTCTCCCCTGGTTTCGGGACTCCCGGGATTTTTACTCATCGTCACCGAATAATGTATTACCTTGGCTCAGATTCAGAGGGAGAAAAAGATGGATTCAGGTGAGAAAGGGAAATGTGAATTATCAGAGAGAAAAGAAGACAGGCAGGAGCACGAGATCAGAAGAAATGAAAAAAAGATGAGGGGTGAATAAGAAGCAAGGTTGGGAGAAGACAGCGGGAGGATTCAGACAGTGTCTTCCCAGCAAAGAGGAACTGCCCAGTCCTCTTTTGGTCCTAGTTTGATTTTTCTACCAATCTCCTGAAGGTCAGACAGCTGAGAGGTTAACAGTATTTTCTGGAATAAGAGAAAAATCAGCCCCCAGGCTACTGCTTTGTTAAGATCCTTCCAGAAAAATACACAAGGTGCAGCAGCCGGGAGCCCACACTGACCAACCTGCTGGGAGACAGCAAGGAATGCTCAGCATCCCACCACTCGCTCCCCATTAAGGGTGGGAAACACCCCACTGTGCTCCAGTTGGCCTGGCAGGTCTCAGGGAAAGCAGGGAACAGCAGAGCCAGGCTGGAAGCAGGGGGCTGTGGTGGCTCCCCAGGATGGTGGCCGGGGTGGGAGCAGGCCAGGGCTGTTCCCAGGAGGAACCCTGGGAGCGCTGCAGCGACACCATCGCGGTACACGCAGCCCTCGAACCCCCCCACGGGCTGGGGGCAGGAAACCCACCCACAGCTCCCCTTCCATCCCCCCGGGGAAAGGGGCTCGCAGCACCCACAGCCACACCGGTGGGTGGAGGCAGAAGGCATCAGCCCACCGGGGTGCTCCTGGGGCAGAGGAAGGTGCCTGTTTGCCCACAGGAGCGAGTTCCTGCTCTGACAGAGGTTCCCCCCCCCTTGGATTCCCTCCAGCCCAGGGTGGTTTTCAGCCCCTCGGGCTGCTCCCCACCACCACGGCTTTTCACTTACTGGAATGATGCACAGGACCACACTCTTTATAAGAAGTGTGATGAGGTAATCACAAAAACACAGCCAGGAGTTTTTGCTGGTGTTTTGAGGCTGAACAGCTTATGTCACTTAAGCATTACATAAAGGCAGCGTTAATAGGCCCCCCTCCCTCACAAAGTTAAGGTTACATAACTTCAAGATACCTTTTTCCCCCCTTTGCTTTTTCCTCGTTAAGGCAAAAAGTAAGTATTCTATTACTTTCTCTCTTAGTTTCTACAGGAAAATCAATTGCTCCAGCCAAAACAGGTGACTTCACGTGAACTGCTTCTCTGCTTGTACCTAACAGGTAAAAAGCACAGATGTGAATTCCTGCAAGGGAATTTCTTGCTCAGAGTTACAATTTCAATATAGAACTGCTCCTCTTTAAAGAGATGGAGCACACAGTCCTTGTCTCAAGTCACACATACATCAACCAGCTAAGAAAGGTAGAAAAGAGCAACATCTGCAGGAAGTCTGACATCAAAGAGCCTCCCTCACTGAGTCTTTATGCAGGAGTAACTTCCCTTTCAGTCACTTTAACAGAGGACTTGCTCCATAAACAAAGGAGAACGTTTAAGGTTAATAAATTTGAACTTTATTTACAAATTAATTACAGCTGAATTCTAATCTGCAGAGTCCTGGGGCAGTATCAAACTTCTGCAACATCCAGGGAAACTCCAAAACACTGACATCACTTAACATCACACTTGACATCTTATATGTCAAGATACATTAAGATAAGACGTGTAATTCACCAATGGATCAAGTCTGAGAAACTAGTAACCTAAATTCTTCCTGAATGTTCTTCTTAAAACCCTGAACATTCTTCTTAAAACCCTAAGAGGGATGGGGTGGGGGAGAAATAAAAGAAAAAGAGCAATTAGAAGATAACAATAAAGCAAGAGTAAAATATAAAGATTTGTGTAAAGGCATATATTTTGATATCCATTAGTTGGGTTAGTTTAGTTTGAGAGTAGCTGCATAAGTGCATGTGCTTATGGGAAAAAAAAAAAATCAGCCCTTAGACAGCCTTGGAATACTCAAGTGGAAGAATTTAAAAGCATGGGAATATTACAGGATCGTAGACTACTACAAAACACTTCCCATATTTGTTTTGCTGTTTATCTTATCACCTACTTCAGCTTTAATTCCTTCAAATCCACGACAGGTTTGTGTTTACACAGGTGCTGAAGTTGTAAACCTACTGTAGCTACTACAGACCTGGCAATATTTGAATACCACTGCTTTAAAACACATCACAGAACTGAGGCGACCATTTCACAAACCCAAGGTGTAGTTCTGCTAAAAGCTACTGAAGTAATATGGGTTCTGTTTCTTAATTTTAACCTGTGACTAAACCTAAGCCTTGTAGTCTAAGTTTTGGAGAGGAGAGGAAAGAATAAGACCTCTCAAACCCACTAAGGCCAATTTCTAAGAGATAAGTTGCACTTGGAGCAAGCTGGAAACCAGAGGTAATAAGGAAAAAAAACAAGTAGATTGTGATAAATACAGTCATGCTTTTTCCACAAGTTTGGAATACTTGCAGCAGGAGGAATGCTAAACAATCAAGACAACATACATGCCACCTTATTTCTTTATAGTCCTTCAGTCTTGTCACTAAGGTTTTAGGTGGGTACTTAAGATGTTTACAGCTCTTTAAGCCAAGCAAGTAATTTTAAAAGAATTCTGAGCTATCTGTTGTCCACATGGCAAACTGGGACTTCAGCTGTCAACAGTTTGCAAACTGCACAATTCCAAGGGCATTAAATCCAAACATGGACACCCCAGAAGCAGGAAAGCAGTGTGTTCCTATTCTCCTCAGATTTCCCCCAGCATGGCAGTTTAGTGCTGGACTCGGCAGTGTTAGGTTTAGGTTGGAAAAGACCTTTAAGATAGAATCCAACCATAAACAAGTCTATGCCATTATCATTTTGTAGAACATTTTTTTTTCTGGCACTGCCTTCCTCCTGTCCCTTAAAGTTGGTTTAGTTGTTTAGACTTTTTAAGCAGATCACATGCACTAAAAAAAAAACCAAACAAAAAGAGACTGAAGATTTTAAATTTTGCTTTCAAGACAGTATTTTACAGGACATACAAAAATACTCTAGGAAAAACAACTTACAGGGTCATTTACAAAAACACCACATTAGAAAGACATTACAAGAGACAAGGAGCATAATATTTGTTCCATAGGATCAGAGTTTCTCCCCACCCCTCAAACCTCAAAAACCCCAATGCACTTAACTGGGTAAGCAGTGTTATCAGCTTACAGAACCAGACTTAAGGCTACTAGAGGTTTTCATGTAAGCATTTAGACCAGCTTCCAGGGTTTATCTGAAACCACTTTCTGCATTGCCACTGGCTTTCCACCCTGCAGGTGGGCACGAGTGTCACAACAGCCTCAGCTGTTGCAATGTCTCAGTGCATCTTCAGCTCTGTGTTCAGGGTTTGGCTTTACTACCCAGTGACAAGAAAAAGCCTCTCAAAGTCTCATCTTGCAGCAGTCTTAAGATTAAAAAAAAAATGCATCAGATAACACACAGCACAAGACATGCCTATCATCTCCACACCTTGGACAGAATCCTCTGCTGCATTTCCTTCAACAATTAAATTATTTGTGGGCCTCCATGGGAGGCAATACCTGTGCAGGGCATGGCTGTGCTAGACAGAGGAAGGCTGAGAGCCCAGGAAGCTGAGCACCATCGTGGCAGAGGCACAGGAGCACAGGTGCCAAATGGGAAAATAATTTAAGGTAAGAACAATACATGCACATGAATTAGGAAAGCACAAGGGAACACAGGCACCTTCAAACACACTTGAAAACACAACGTGGTTGCAGCAACCAGTTGACCCTGCTGACATTCTGAATTCAAGCCACAGGACAGGTTGGGTTTTTCTGGCTGTTTCAAAAGCTGGTGGCAGTTGAGACTTTTTAAAAAGCTAATAGTTACAAGCATATGCAAAGAGCAATTCAAAAGGAGACAAGCATCTAACACCAGCATAAAACCATGACTTCAACTGGTTACAGTAACTTTTCACGCTTTGTTAGTAACTACAACACACATTCCATCAAGAAGGAATTATTCCTCTTCACCTGGGAGATACACCAGTTACCCATTAAGGGTAAGTTTGATGGATCTTTTAACAATACGAATGCTATTTGTTGGAACAGGAGATGAAGAATCTGGTAGTTCTTTACTGGAAAGCCTCTATAAACATACAAAAATATGCCAGAGGAAAAGAAAAAAAAAAGGGGGAAATTTTAAATTAATCAAGGAATTTTAAATTAATTCAGAAGTAGCAGCAGATAAACCCTTTCCTAGCTGAATATGCTTTAGGTACCAAAATAATATGGCCCAAACCCCTTTTTCAGAGATCTTGTTTTTTTCCACCACACCACTTGTTTAATTAGCATCAGATACAGAAGAAGAGCCTTTTCCCCCCTGCACAGTTCTTTTCTTGTATCAAAGACAACTCCTGATGGGAACTGAAATTAGTTGCAAGTTGCTCAACAGCTTTAATAGAGGAAGCTGCCATTTTTCTCAAATCCATGGATCAGGGAAACTGTCTCTACTGTCCAGATGACTTCCAGTCTTACAACCCTCAAATTCACAACATTTTACATGACACAGAACAGTTAAAGGCACCTATAGACTTCAAAGCTTCCAGGTCTCATCACAGAAATACAAGTACTGATAACAGTACAAAAAAAACCCCCAAATCAGGACACAAATTGTCAGTGTTTGAGGACACAGAAACATGTTTTTTCAAGTTCAACAACTTGGAAGCTCTGGCTTCACTTCTGTGAGTAAACCTGGAAGGTCACTGTTCAGATATTTAATTTGTTGGAAGCATGACCTTACCAACTACTTCAAACCCCCAAGTTTACAGGGATTAATGTTCTATAAATCTTTGTACATAAAATAGAAATGCTAGTTCTGCTTTACCTAGGAATACAAAAGCACAATAAATACCTGTGATCTTGATGTGATCACTGGAATCTGCATGGATTTTCCATCAAGGACACCCTAAAAAAAAAAGCCAGAAGGGATTTGTGAGGCAGCATTGCCAACTTCATGATGGAGAGGCAGCAAGTTCTGGCAGCTGGGATACTTTAAATCATTCCTGCATTGACAACCTCCACCTCCTGGGGTGGGTTTAGGCATTGTGAGGCCCTAAAAGCACACAAACAGTGCTTCAGGTATTTCAGCCTCTACCAACAAGATCTCATGTTGATTTGAGGGTGTGCCCTCAAGAGTTTATGCTTCAATAGCAAGCTAGACAAATAGCAAAGCTCTTTATCTTCCCTTGGAGAGGCCAAATGCTTTAGTCTTTATGGCAGTTTTGCATCAGGGAACAGAGTGGTTTTAAAAAAGAAAATAAAAAGATACTACTAGACACTACCACATCATCTAGCAGTAACCTTTAAAAGACAGGGCAGCCAGGTGCAATATTTGGGAAATGAAGACTGAAATAAGCTAAACCAAAAAGCCTATTTTTGTTTCCATCAGTAGATGTGCCAAGTATTTATGTGAGGTACTCTAGGTACCAGACCACTCAGCTTTTCAGTTAGTCCACTAACTGAAGTGAAATCACTTTAAACTTACATTTTTTGCAGCTCTCCTCCTCCCATCTTGAGGACATCCGCTTCCTGTGAAATCTGAATCCCAGACGTTCAGCTGGAAGAACAAAATACACAGACTCAAAATAATTGCTGTGCCAAAATTACCTTCGTATCTGAGTACTGCCTCTACTCAGCACATTAAATGTCACAGCAGCCATTCTTAAAAGAGCATTTATACAAGTCCACCATTACCCCTCTGGAATCTCAAGCCTCTCAAAAAGTGTTAGCTACCCAAACCTTGAAATCTGTACTTGCAATATTTAATACCAGATAACAGTTCTGCAAGTTGATTCTTTACAAGTGTCAAAATGGAGGGTTTTTTTTTTCTACTTATTCTTTGCCTGTGCCTCAAATCAGAGGTCAAGACACAAGAACAGCTATTTAAGATTTACATGCAGCAATAAACCAAATCGAGCATTAATCTAAAGGTTCCACAAGACCAAGATTTAACAAGCAACTCCACACTCATTTCAGCAGTAGAATGACCTACTGAGTTGGCTGCTGATTTCTAAAGCAGCAAAACTATCAATAGGCATTCAAAAAGCATCTGCCAGAACCAGATTAGCTCACACTTTTACAGTTATAAGATTCATAACTTCATTTGGAGATCAATTTTTTCTGTACTAAGAACTGCTTCCAGATGAGACAGTTCATTCAGCAATTGGTCACTGCAGTGATAGATAAGCACAGTAGTATTTAGAGACCTTGGCACCAGATGAGAAACACTCATTAAGTGCCAGATCCTGAAAAAATGTTGTTTAGTAGCTATATGTTATATTCAAGACAATTTCTCACATGTACATCCTGGTAAAAACGATAATTATGCTTAAATTTCGATTCCCAAATCCACTGGGGATGTATAAACGCATTTCTTTTCAGTTAATTTATTCTACATCAGTGATTAGTGCTACTTCAAACCCTTGGCCTAGCCCCCCTTCCTTGCCTTTTCTCCATCTATGGCTTTTTGGGGGCACTCTCCCGGTGTAGGTAGACGAGATACTTTAGAGGTTGGTGAATAATGTTGTTTGGGTGAAGCACTCTTAGGATCCGTGATTAGAGTCCCACTTAATTTATGGTGTCCTTGGACAAAACACGTTCTGAGCTGAGAAACTGTGTTATATCCTGGAATGGTGCAACCAATTGGAGGTCCCGATGTTCTTAGTGCAACTGAAGCCTCCATTTCTGCAGGAGACACCTGGCTTTTAGAGTTTGGCCACGAAATTAAAGACTGCATTCCACATACCACTTCAAATACATACTTGGGTCAGTCACAGGAATGCAGAGTCCCTTAGACGTTGATGGCTCAGCTACACTGTTGGCACCACTACAACTCTGACATGCAACATTTCTATAAAAGTCAAACACTAGAGTTACAAAGTGCTGGTTTGTGAAATGCTACATATCTCATTTCCAGAACGTTCACGCTTGCACAGACCTTCTTAGCTTGTTATCACAGCTCTATTAAAAAAAACACAAAGTCATAGGCCGTGTGGGTAGGACAAGATCATCATTCTGCTGAACTTCAGGCCACAGATTTAAACTGCAGCATCTCCTTCAGTGTTTTCCCAGGTTAGTCTATCCAGCACAACTGTGCTGCTTTTCTAACTAAGCATTTGTATCTGCTCTACCCAGATGTGCAACACGAGTTTTTGCTTATTTTTCTTTTTTCGTGTGACTCCTACAGAACCAAACTGTCTGAACACAGCAGGCATCACACATCTGGTAGGACTGGGCAATTACTCTCAGGATTACACATTCCTCCTGTGCTGAAATAGTTTATGGATAAACAGACTTCCCAGGAATTCTCCCCAGACACTTTTACTGCCCCAGTTCTCATAGCACTCCACTTATTCAGAAGCAGCTCTAGTGTTTCTGTGACCAAGATCAGTCCTTCCTTAATCCACTTGGCACTAACTGCACTTTTTGGTAGAAAGAACAGGTACTTCCACATAAAATACTCGAGCTTCAAGTTACACACTAACCAATGAAGATTTTTATTCAAGACTAAATTTCCCTGGTGTCAAGTTCTTCATTCCTACGTGTTCACGTACATTAAGATTATTTTTTTCCAGGATTTCTTCAACCTGCCTCCAACCACGTGCCCAAAGGAGATTCCAGCTTTGTTCCTCAGAGCCCTCCACACGTTTACAATCCACAAACAAGAAACCCTAGGCTTCATTTACACTGTGACTCAGTTAAAAGCAGCTTCTCCACAGTTCTCAGGTGATGGCACTAACCTTTCTGTCTCTGCTGTAGAGGTGTCCAATTTGGATATCTTATTTAACAAAGAGGAATTAGATGGTGCTCTGGAGTCTCTGTCTTTGGAACTGCCCGAACAGCTTTCCCCTAAAGATGACCTTTTGCACTGAAGTCCACTATTGCCTTGACTAATATCTGACACTTTTTGCTGAAATGACAGGTAAAAAATAAATCAAGTCTTCAAGTAATTATTAAAGGAAAAAAAAAAATTTAATTACCGAAAGAGCCAAATTTTTATTATACCTTCTTTCTTTTCTGTAAGGTTTCTGCTGGCAAAAAATAATGCAGTTGCTTTCTCTTCACATAAGTTGCCTCAATCTTCATGCCTTCCTTTAGGATGTTGAGGGCACTGGCCTGCCTGTAGACTGACATCAAACACAGAATTTTAGCTTGCTGGGGATGTTGGAATTAGGTTTCTTTAGGAACATGTTTGTCCTTGACCATTAGATTTCTGATTGAGAATAGACTCAGAGGACTTTCTGAATCACCCCATTTGTGCACAGCTGAGGAGAGACCAGGCACTTCACTCAACATTCAGAATAATTTTTAATTTGGCATTTACAGTGGTGATTGTGGGTTTTTTTCCCATAACAGTTCTGTAGCATCGTGCAACTTCTCAGCAGTTCAGATGTCAAAATTCTGTCCAAGTAAGCAAGACTGGATTTTAGGGACATCTGATTTAGCAGACTCACTACAATTTGAACAGGTTTTTCTGAACAGCCTTTTACCAACTGGAAAATGTTGTAATGGCACAACAGTTATTACAGAATTAAGTCACATTTAGATAAGCTTATCTAACTGGACTATCATGAGTGTAACTGGAAAGTCAGCTTACTAACAAAGAGTGGGAATCAAAGTCAGGACATGCAGCAAAAAGGCTTATAAGTCTTTCTACAGGAGGTCTAAAATAAAACAAAAGCACAAACATGGACATACACACCAACATGGATAGTTCCTCCAAAATAAATTCAAAATTTTTTGATGCAAAAGGGAAATAAAGGTCTCTGAGCAAAAGCACTCCAGTGAGCCTTATATCCTTGAGCTCATCAATTTGAAATTAATCCTTGCCCTCTAAAAATATTCTCTCAGAGTCAAGGCACATGGTAACAGCTTTCTAGCACATAACTACTGGTCATGCCCACATTTACCAAAGGATTTCACACTTCTCAAGTGTGAAATCAGAAAGCCTTTTCTGTTCAATTCTTCCTGGATTTTGGTGCTATGGATAAACTCCAACAAACATTTAAAGGATTTCAGTGTTTGGAACTTTGTCCAAACACATTTGTAACTTCAGAAAAATAGCCCAATTCTCTTATTCTTAGGCCTGAGCCTAAGCAAACATGCACTTCTGAAAGGTACAAGAGCAGCCAGCTTGGGAAGAATTAAACAGGTTGTGGGAAAGAACTATACTTTCAACTTCTCACCCCAAACTCCTTTATTTTAGCATTACCTTACAGCACTTGTACTAATTTATTTTTGCATCTATCAAAAGTAGTGAAGAGAATATGAACATGAAAATTTACATGCAAGACAGGAAGTAATTACAACTGAGGGACTTTCACACTTCTGGGATCATGTCATCCACAAACTGTTGTCTTGGAAAAATACCATCAACAGGCATTAACAACTCAGAGCTTGAAACAGTGAATTTACATTTTCAAAGTTCAGCAGCTGACTCCTGTTTTTCAACATGTGTAGCTACCCCCAGAAAATGGACATCTCCTGGCTTCACATCTGACTGTTCCCTTCAGGAAAAGCAGTTCCTGAACTGCTTTTCCTGGAACTTACTTACCCCATGATCTACAGAACTGTTATTTCACATGTGGTACACTGTGTGTGACTAACACACACTTCTGTTTCAACATGGACTTCGACAAAGTGTCAACACATTATGTTTTTAAAGCCAATCTATATGTTGCTCTCTACAGGAATATTTAGTGCCAGGGGGAAGCCCAGTTCACTTTGTGAAGGAATTTCCACCAGAAAATAAAGAAGTAAACCCGTGTCTAGAGCAAAACAGAGGCTTACCTGTGTCTGTGAACGACTGTATCCCATGGGTTAAATCAACATTAGTCTTCTCTGCACTTTCCACTTTCTTAAACACAAGTCCAAGAAACCACATTGACACATACCCATTCCTAAAAAGACAGATTCACAAACCTGATGTGGGCACAGGTGCCAGCTATTTGGATTCTAGTACACTCTAGTTGTATGCAGCAGTTAAAGATTAGAGCCAGACCACACTGAAGTTCTCAGAGTTCCTTCTCCCTTCTTTAAAAAGACCTTACGTGCTCAGGGCCCTGTTAGTGAACAAACCTACAGAACACACCCAACACCTCTCACCCGTGAGCTGAGGTGAACGAATATAAATAAATAAGTTACAATAAATTGGCCAAACTGTACTTCAGAAGAGCAAAGTAACAAAACTCACTGTTTATAGAGATTTTCATTGCCAGGGAAAGACTGTGGTTGTACATGTGCAATAGTTATAAACTCATTCCTTTCCAAGTTTCCAACCAGCACACGAATTTTAGACTCCACAAGGCCAATCCTGATAAGAACAAGAGATGTTTATTCATTTTTAACTGTGTCCAGCACATCACTTAGATGCCTTTTTGTATTGCAATGTTAACCTATCAATAAGCTGAGCAGATAACTAGATCTGTATATCTTTATATGAGATGTTTCCAGTGACATTCAAGCTTTTGTTTCTAAAGACAAAGATAAGTAAGTTTAAGATGTACTCTTAACAGTTCAGATACAACATTTCCACCTATAATCTATGATAAAAATAACAAGGAGCAGATCCCAGCACTTCTGGCTGCATTTTTAAGTGCAGCAAACCCCCTTTTTACCCCAAGGATCAAAGAGAAGAGTGGTTTAGAAAAGGCTCAAGCACAACTGTGCAATTACACCCAAGTAAACATGCAGTTCTTTCGGCAGATTGATCAGTGAAAACGGAAAAATAGAATTATTTTAATAAAGAAATGATCTAGCCAACAGTCTCATCAGAATCTTCCCCAAGAAATCAACCGTGGCCATGAGGGCTTTAATTCCAATAAAGTCCTGGTATTTTACCCTTTTACCTAAAACTCTAACTTTAAAAGCAGTCAGAAATCTGCCTGTTATTCAAAAGCATCTTATGCTGATGAATAACAGAGGTGTGCTATCCCCAAATCCATACAAGAGCTGGTGAACTAAACTTGTTCTTATAGCAAACTGGAGCAAGTTTATCTTCTGATTTTTAGTTTTCCCAGCAAAACTTGAAAATTTGCCTCCTTTTTTGTCACTGCAAAACCATCAGCTCTTATCAGAGACAGAACTTCCCTTGTCTCTACTGAAACAATAAGCTTTGTTCACCTGAGAACATTTCACATTAAGAATTATTTGGCCCTCTGCCCATACACCTTGCTGTACATAGCTGTGACTGACACCGAGCTGCAGCTGACAGGATTTTTTAAGTGAATGTATTAGAAAGCTCAGATAAAAGGTGTTACTTATTAGAGCTATTTTTAAACATTAAGCTATCTTTATAGATGGCACAAGAATCATTTGATTTAAAGCACAAGCCAAGCTTTTAAGTTAAACTAAGGTGCCCTCAGAACGGGGGTCTCTTACGGAGAAGTGTTTTGCAAGCAAGCAAAGTACTAATTTTTTGACAAAGAAACACCTTGAAAAGTTAATAACACACATTACAGTGCCTTAATTCCTCACATTTCCCCTTATTTCAAGATTCACAGTTAGTCAGCACATTCCCAGAAGTTACTGTTGGCATATCTCCCTTCACTGAAGAAAAGTAGGTCTGGAATAGGCTGACAACACACCAGTGCAATCTACTCCTTAACTAAACACTACATTAAGTAAAACTATTTATGCAACCAAGTCTAAGACTCTAGAACAGTGGTCTTCAAAGTGGGGGGTGGAAGTGTATTCCATGCCTAGTTGCATAATTAAATACTTCATTTGTTAATACAATTAACAAAAATAAAGTGCAACATCAAATTGAGTTTCAGCTATGAACTGGACCCACGCCCAAAGCCAGACTTACCAGTTTAAGTGATGCTCCTCTGTAAAGGCACTAGCAGTGAGCACAATATAATGTCTAGAAGAAAAGGAAAATAAACACACTAGCTCAGGGCTTTATTCTACATTCTAAATATTAGGTGGGCTTTTTTGTTGTAAAAACAGTGTCAGTGGCATAAGACAGTTTTTCCTATCTTTTCTGTGCTTATTCTTGTCAAAATTTGTATGACTACCTCCAGTTTCTTTAAAAGAAAAAAAAAACAAACCAAAACCAAACCAAACAAACAAAAAAAAAAAAACAAACTCCAAACTGAAACACATCAATACGATCTTCTATTTAGACCCCAAGTTAAAACTCATTATGCTAACCAGGGAGTTACTTCAGGTTCAGACAACAGATTTCATACATACTTGTACTTCTGAAAGAAGTTCAGAGGTTCAAAGAGCTTCGACCAGTCCGATTTTCCTTTGAGAATCTCATCTGTAACTTCAAGACCTACAATTAAGGTTGAAAACCTTATTACCATTCTGGTTTTAAGACTATAAACTTTACAGGATTGACAGTAACTGACGGATCAAAAAGCAGGAATTCCTTTGACACATTGGTGATCTACTAAAACAGTTCATCATCAAACTGGTCTCATTGTCTGCAACAGGTGGACTTCCCAGAGACCTTATCCTAACTAAAACACCTCACTGAGCAAAACTAGCTCAGATAATGTGGTTTCAAACAGCAGGAATTATACTGCTTAGCCAGATAATAAGCATGGAAAGCACTTTACCACGTTGGAACTCCTCTACCATCACTGCTCGTGTTGATGTAGACACATTGTACGTGGAGTTCTGCTGTGGATAGGCTGGTGTGATGATGGGCATCACATGGTACCGGTCTGATGGGTTCACCTGGGATGTTACAACTTTGTTTAGCATCAGTTCAGGTCAGGAAAAAGTTTAAAAGGCTTCTGAATTCAGTGTTCACATACCCTAGGGTCCCATACTGGCAAATTAAGAAAGCTCTCTTCAAGTCGCTTCAGCAATACTGGCTTTGGCCAATCCCTGTGTAAGAAAAGCCAGCGTTTAACTGCCCATTTCAAACTCTTCCACTGGATGTCGTCAGTGGAAATCTTTAAACACAACTACATCTAGATACCTTACTTCTCTATGCAAACTAAGATAAACAGTAGCTCTTACCACTTTGAAAAAATCAAGAAGAACTTGTTGACAAGAGTAGAGGCCAAAGCATTCGGGTAGAGCTGGCATATCCTCGCTACCAGCATCGCCCAGGAAACTCCACCAAGAAACCCCATCATGTTGGAGTAAACACCACGTCCTAGAAGGGGTACCATGGTTAGTCTGTAGTCTTACAGCACCAGCTTCACAACCCTAGCATACTTCAGCCCCACAGTCATTTATTTTTGCAGTGCAGTGAGGCCAAAACTGCTGTTTATTACCACACTGCTTCTCAAAATACTGCTAACTCTAAAATTTGCTTATGCTGCCACAGCTACTGCTTCACTCCAACCTCCCTTTAAGAAAAAAAGTTTTGCTATTCTTCTGGTACTTGCTCTAGCCACATGCACAAAATGGTATTTTCTTAATCCTTTTGTACTTAATTCAGGATTTTTACCATTTGTAATCAGGTTCCTGATAAGGAATGCAGCACCCTGTCTTGCAAGCATTAAAAACCACGAGGAATCTACTGCACGGAGAGACCCTGAACCTAAACTGAAGGAGGTTTCAATTTAACAACTGCCAATTAAACAGCAACCCAAAGCTGAGGTACATCCAGTAGTAAGCATGAGATGCCTCTGCAAGGTTTAAAGACCACAAACAATCCCGTTACTCACGTTTTGCCCACAGTTTAATTGCCCGGAGTGTGAGGCGGAAGTTCTCTATATTTGGCACCAAGCGCAGTATTTCATCAGTAACCCTGCTGCCTGCAAGACAAAAGTTGAAGGGCAGAAGTTCCTAGCAACAGGCACAAGTCAGTTTTATGCTGATCAATAGTTTGTTCAAGTCTATGAACACGAGTTGGGATTAATTCTTTTGTATCTCCTTAAAAAGTTATATATTACACACAACATTCAGTTCCACTTCAGGTAACCGGTGCCCTCAACAGCTTTTTTCATAGTTTAAACACCAACTAGCCATTTTTAATAAGGCCTTTGGACAGGATGTTTTGGCCATAAACTAAAAGACAAGAAATTCCACCTCACCCTTTCCATGGAGGGTGGCAGAGCACTGGAACAGCTGCCCAGGGTGATCATGGAGTCTCCCTCTCTGGAGACATTCCAAACCCACCTGGACAACATTCCTGTGTCACCTGCTCCAGGTGACCCTGCCTTGGCAGGGGGGTTGGACAAGATGATCCCAGAGGTCCCTTCCAACCATAACTATTCTGTGATTCCTTAATTCCAAAAAGCCAGGTTTCTTTTGACAGCCAGGTACCATTAAACCAAGTGGTGTTAAGGAGTGAGCAAGTCAGACTTCAGGTATTTTAATTATTATTTTTTTTTAATGAACTACCACACAACCTTTATCAAGTGCCCTACCCAGTCATGTGAGTTGCTGTAGAAAACTGAACACTGCACACAAACCAATCAAAAAAATACAAGTCTATCTGAACACACAACTCCTCAAAACACCTAAATTGAAGCCCACTCATCACCACCTCAGAACTCAAGTACACAGGACATCAGTTCTACAACCTGTCCAGACACGTGGGTTGTGTAATGGGCATTCTGTGCCAATTCTAGGCCAATTTCAGTAACACTTTCTTTTTAAAGGTGTGTAAAACACACTTACCATTTAAGCTCCTTATGCATCTTATATCCAGGCTCCTCAGGCACGAGTCGTCTCTGAGATCGAGATCATCAGACACAGTTGGCATGGACAGTTTTGCAAACACAAGATCAATCTTAAAGAGAGAAAGGTTCCAACCATGAGTTTACAACGCAGCACTGCTTGCAAACAGCACACTAGTAAGGGACACTTTTGACTCTCAGTCAACTCTAAAAAGAGTGGTTAACATTTGTATTTAGAATTATGTGACCACAGATAAATCTGCCAAGAGATTTGTTTGCCAGAAAACAACAAAGTTACACTAAGTTCCATATTTATTTACAAAACCACCTCTTTTTTTTTCCCCCCCAAAGTTGGAAAGATTACTCTAAACTTAGAATTCCTGTTAAGAGGAAATTTAAAATTAACCACAGAACTAAGATCTAAGTTCAAACCACCCTAACTATACTTCAGCAAATGAGAGAGCATTTTCTTTATGCTGTAAGCCCTTAAGTATCCAGTTTTTATAGAGTCTGAGGCAACAAAATTATTCTGGGAATGTCTGTACCAGATAAAGGCCACAAAAGGGTCATTGAATAAGTGTCTTCATGATGGCTTCCTAGGGACTTATTTTCCTGTAAGGTCCCATTTTACTCAGGGTCTTCTCCTGGGATAGGCTGTGGTCAGGCTAACTATAGTTTCCTAAATACACTGTGAGGTACCAATAGCCTTGTAAAACAGCACCATCACAGGTCCCTGGAAAAGTTATCCCACTCCAAAGCAAGAAAAAAAACCAACTACCAAACCTAAAAGTTAAAACTCTTACCTCAATGCCATCAAAGTCAAATTTGATAACTGGCACATAGGCATCCTCAATGGCCTGTGAAGGAGAGCATGTGTGTAATGAAACAGCGTTTTGCTGCTTTAATGTTTTCCCTATAGTATGGTAAAGTACAGAACTTTAAACTGCTCAACTCCTCAGTACAGAGTTGCTTCCAAACACAAAGAAAATTGCTAATAACCCTCCAGCAGTGTGGCACTATTATGGTACTAACACTAGATTTTATTAAGAAGTTATTTAGGCAAGGGATTCAGGGGCTGATCATGTGTTGTAACAAACTGTCAGTGCACAACAAGCCATCAGGATCAGTGGTTGTAAGCCCCTTCCTGCATCTAAGATGAAAGCCTATCTTCCAGGTACAACCTTGCTTTTTGATACAACTGACTCATTCCCAAACACAGGGAAAGGAGAAGAAATAACACAATAACTCTTATGTGATGCACAGTCCTCGGGGGAAGAAACCAAAAGCTGGACATAAACATTTTCATGCTGCATAAACCAGTATTTTAGTAGGTGCTCCAGAAACAATTTCCATTTTAACTTGGGCTTGTAAGACATTTACTACTAATACAAGTCTAACATGAATATTCTTATAGTAAAAGGTGCACACTCCACCAGGCAGGGTTTACTCACTCTCAGGTTTTTTACTTCCTGTCGATTTTTCAGTTTTTCGAAGAATGACTGAAAAAAATCCGATCTCTCCACGTGACTGGGAGCAACACAAAGGGCATCTATGTCAGAACCTGCCAAGAGATTCCATTTGTTCTGTTATTTGCTGGAAGCCACTTTCCAACATCAGAACTACGACCAGACACTGACAGTACTACCTTTAGTGTGCACTCCAAGCCTGTAGGAACCAAATGTAAATATCTTGCCACCAAGATGTTCTATTATTGAAGGGGGAAGATTCTGTGGGTAGAAGAGAGAGAGAGTTTAAGATGCACATTGTCCCACGTGCAAGTTTAACTAGTTATTTAGGAAGACTATAACAGACTCCATAAACACATCTTTTCACTCCCAGACTGGGTTTTTAGTTTAATAGACCAGTTTTCTGAAGTGAGTCGAGCTTCCAACTAACAATAAAAAAAAGAAGATTGAGTAATGTAGCAGTACTCTTATTAATTTATACAAATTAAGACCTATTATTAGCCTTCCCTGCAGCAGAGGCACATAAATTAACACAATCTAAGAGCCATTCAAAAGGCATGTCTAGGGTAATAATTTCAAACTAGATTGAGTGCTGTAGGCTGTTTGGGGCAAAATTAGTGCCAATTTACCACCTTCCTCATCCACAAGGTGTTGTTTCAGCCAATTCACAAAATTTATTCAGTGCCCCAACGACTTTGAAACCTTGATCTTGCAGAACCTCTTATACCTTATTTCTACAGCAGTCACTACAGTTCTACTTGATACTTTAAAGCTGAACTTTAGCATAAATCCTAGTAGTATGGCCTTTAAAAGAAATCAAAAGGCTTCAGCTGTTTTAATAAAAACACATAAAAAACTCCTTACCTTGCTCTCAGCAAGTTCTGAAATCCATTCTCTGACCAAGTTATTCAGTTTACCAAGGACAGTCGTCCTGTAAAAAAACCTCACACTAAGTTTGATTTAAATAAAAACCAAAAAAAACCCAAAACCAAGAGGCTAACAAATTTTACAGTCTTGTTATACCTCTGGTACAGTTCTTCCTTATCTTCAAACACCCCAAATGGCTTCATGGCTTCAATCAGCTTCTGAGTGTGAGTGTGGTCTATGTCACTAGGAGGAGCCAAGCTAATTGGAGAGGTAAGTCCATAGTGCCCTTGAGGCTGGTTCTGCTGCCTGGAAGTACTGTGAGAAAATAAAAGACTGAGTACATATTAAAAAGAAAAAAAAAAAGACAAACCTTATTGGAAAACACCCTTCAGCTTACAGGTTTCCATATCCCCCTTCTGCTCTTTTACCCAGCATTAACATAAATGAGAGGAAAAAAAAAACCAAACCTCATGATTTTTAGATAACTTAGAAGATACAGCTACTTTAAAGAAACCAAAATCAAACAAACATTTGTGGATGTAAGAAATTATCCAAGTATGACACCACATGCAGGATAACTTTTAGGCACATTTCAGTTTCCTGTCTGTTTTGATTTAAGGATATTCCCAACAGCTTCCTGCTAACATTAAACAAGACAATTTAACTTCTTTTATGTGTATTTGTGGTGTTTGACTGATTCTGGAAGGGCACTACAATTGATTGTAGAGGCATATAATGAAGTGGTCTGCTAAACAGAGTTGGTGCAATAAATTCAGTGTGTTGTTACATAGAGCCCTTGCTTTAGAAAGGGGGAAATGGAGGAAAAGCACCTTATTTTGCATTACTAGTTGAAACTGGGACAGAGAAAGGAATGGGACAGGAGGTAAGAATGGTGCTTAATGCATCAAAGGTCTCTACAGAGATAGTAGTAAAAGGGGGAAACACTAAAAGGTCTCCACAGCTCATCATACTTGCCAGAGTTCATAGCCAGACCCTAAGGAAAAAGAGATTAATGTGCCATTATTCAAACTGGGGTAATTTCCACCTCCACATACGGACAATTTCAAAGAATTACTGAGTTGGTAAAGAGATGTGTGTTACTATTTAAGATACCCAACCCATTTTGGTTGGAATAAGATTAGGAAGTGCTCAAAGGACAGCTTCCCAACTTGATTTTAAAAAAAAGACAGCTGATTACATAGTTCCTTCTTTCTAATTGGAGGGAAAATATTTCCCTCTCTCAAAGTGACATTATCAAACTTTGCACATAGCCTTTAGTCACCTAGTGGGGTTTTTTTTCCCCCTTCCTCTCTACAAGCCCATTTTTCAAGCTTTGTTCTATATGTTTTCCAAGAAGCTGGGGGCAAGTATTAGGACTGTAGCCCTATCAACTAGTCTTCCAAGTCAGAACATCTGTTTAGTTACAAGTGTAACCAGAGCTTGACCTAATCAAATAGACACAGACTTCCACTCCATAAATAAAAAGATTTATAATACATATTTTCCTTCTTATGATACCATTTCCATAACAAACACAGGAGGAAAGCCTGTGCTTAATTGCTGTGCATTACAACTGAATCAAAACACCTACAGCAGCAACTGCTTCCAAGTTTTATGCATTTCTTGCATTGTAATACTTGTACCTCACAAAGTTTGCACAGAACAGAAATGGAATTTAGACTACACCAGCATTTAAGATCTTCGCAGGGTACAGAAAGGCACCATCTGCCTTTCATTGCCCCATTCTTCCTACATGTCGCATAATTAGAAAGTGACATAAAGGACAACATCAATTAGATAAATTTAGTATTACCAATATCAAATATATATAATTAGACAGCATTTATATCAAGTTCTTCTAGCCAACAGTAGATATTTTTCAGTTGCTTGTACATGTTACTGAAAGCTCACAACTCAAAACCTGAGGAAAACAGCACTTGGAAATTTTTACTGAGTGGCTTCTGCCCAATAGAATTTGTTGCCCTTTTGGAATTAAAAATAAATAAAACCTTATTTTGCTTTCTCAAGCGTGCCACTCTTCTGGGCACATATAATTAAGTGATCTTATGGATCTTAACACACGTGGTACGCTACCCATTCGCCCTCCCATTTAAACGAGAATCCTATTGCAATTTAACATTTTTCCCGGCTCCTGCTACAATTGGTGCGCCACAGCAAACACCTCCGACACGCGTCGGTTCTGATACATCCCACTTCCACACAAAAATCCAACTTAAACGGGTTTATTCCAGGTTTTGTCCCTTTTTCGCAGCTTCGCGAGGCAGCAAGGCGTCTCTCCCACACGCTCCCAGAGCCGGCGGGCAATTCACAACCGGGCGGGTGATGGCGTCGCCTCCGGCCACCATCGGGGCCGGGGAGCAACGGCTGGAAACCAGCTCCCGACCGCCAGAACATAGAACAGGGCCAGAAAACCAAAGGAATCGAGGAAAGACCCCACCACCTGGGACTTTCGGCGAAAAGGGAGCCCAGCTTTACACACCCTTCGCCGCTGCGCACCAGCTCAATGCTGCCGCCGAGCCCTATCCGCCAAGCCGCCGGCGGAGTCCAACCTCCGAGCCTCCCCGCGGGCCCGAGGCTGGGGCAGGGTCGCTCCTCCGCAGGGCTCGGCGGGACGCGCGGCGCCACAGCCCCGTCCCGCCGCTCCTCGCCCGCCCACTGCCGTTGCTCGGCGCCGGCGCCGCCGCCCGCCGCCCATGCGGCGAGTGCCCCGGAAAGAAGCAGCCCCCCGCGCTCCCTTGCTTTCAACACCAACGGACAGGAAGACAGGTTTCGGCTCCCCGCCTCTCTCCTCCGCCGGAGAGCGCCGGGGCCCCTCAGGGGTGGGGGGAGTCGGTCCGGCGGACTCCCTCCGGCGCTGATCCCCTCAGGCGGGGCGGGCGGGAAGGCGCGCCGCCTCACCCGCGCGTCTCCTTCATGGCGCGCGCGCGCACAGCCCGCGCCGCACGCGCTTCCCGCCTTTCTACTCGCGCCTTCCCGGCGCCGCGCGCGCCCGCCGCCCGCCCGCCGGCGCCGCCCTGGCGGCTGCGGCGGGGAGTTGTCTCCCTCACGTCTCCTCATGTCCCCTCCGCCGTTGTGTCACGGGGACACCGAGCACGAACCGGAGGGGATAGTCCTTCCCTGTGGTGGATATAGCCTTCCCTGTGGTGGATATAGCCTTCTCTGTGGTGGATATAGCCTTCCCCGGGGAGGATATTCCTTCCCCTGTGGCGCTGACACACCCCCCCCCGAGGCTGGGCGGGTCCCCGCCGTGAGGGGGTCCCGCAGCGCCCCTGCGCCTCCCTCACACAGCCGAGGGATGTTCCCCCTCCTGACACCCCCTTCCAGACAGAAGGGAGAGGAAAAAAAAACACAACAAACCAACCAAGAATCGCTGTTGTATTAGTTTGCTCTCATCCAGTACGTGGTGAAGAGCAAGCCCGGCGTCCCCTGACTTCAGCTGGTGTGGAGAGGATTTAACACACGTTGCTGATGACAGCAGTTGAGTACTCACAATAACTTAACTGCCATATGTAATTTTCACGGGGTCATGGAATAGGAAGGGACCTTAAAGATCATCCAGTTACAACTCCCTGCCACGGGCAGGGACACCTTCCACTATCCCAGGTTGCTCCGAGCCCCATCCAACCTCTCCGTGGACACTTCCAGGGATGGGGCATCCACAGCTTCTCTGGGCAACCTGTGCCAGGGCATCACCACCCTCATAGGGAAGAATTTCTTCCTAATATCCAGTCTAAACCTACTCTCTTTCAATTTGAACCCATTCCCCGTTGTTCTGTCATTGCACGCTCTCATAAATAATTTTGCCCCATCTTTCCTGTAAGTTCCCTTCAGGTACTGGAATACTATAATAATTTTTGGGCCAACATAGTCTGTCACAAGCTGAATATTAAACCAACCAAACTACCCTGTGAGACCATGACACTTAGATGACAATTCTCCGCTTGCATTTGAGCCTGCAAAAAAGTTAAAAATCAAAAGCCTAGCGCTTCTGCAAAGTTTAATAAACCTTCAGGAAAAAAGTTTGCTTCCCCACTGCCCTGATGCCTTGCCATATCACAGCCTTTCTCTGAGATTATCACAGGATTTCTGTACTTTTCTGGGTTGTCTGTAGCACCTTTGATGAGGTAAAATACATATTATCTTGCAGGACACTTTGAAAAAACACAAACTCAACCTTTGCCCTGAACATTTAACAAATTAACAAAACATGTACTTTTAGCAGGATAGCCTTACACACCAGTCTCATATAACTTCATGCTATGGAGAGCTAAAAATTACTTTAGCTATTAAATATTTGCACGGCAGTACTTGTGGTAACATTTCAAAGTCTTTGATCTGATTGATGCTTCTGCAAGGAGTTGCATTGGTAAGGACAAAAAAAAAATCAAGCAAACTTATTGACAGTTTTTGTTAAACCACTAGTCATGTCCTTTTTATTCCTAGAAGTTTATCAGGGTTTTCTTTAACGCCTTGTTGTCCTCACAACACTACTGTGATCCTACTGTCAGGAAAACTGTTGTGTACTGCTTCCTCTTCTTTTCTCCCAGGTTCATCCCATCTATTTTGCATAAGGAAAACAACTGCCTTTATTTTCACCGAGTTTATGTGGCCAATTATCCACGTTTATTTTTTTTAAAATCTGTTTCAGCTGCGTGCTTCAGTACACGCCAACGGGAAGCTGCATTTGCCCACAGGTGCGACTGGAGGTTTTTAATGGGGAGGTAATGCTTTTATTTAAATCACCTGCAACATTTAGGGAAAAAAAATTAACAGCTCGTCAAGCACAAAAGTTTTTCTTCAGGTGCAATTCTGATTTTAAATTGAAGTGAAGAGCAATCAAGCTTAACTGGGTTGCTTCAGCTGTAAACTATTAAAGAGAAAAGGCAGGGGGTGCCTGGGAAACAGAAGGTATTAAGGATGGCTGGGGTGAGATGGTCGGGTCGTGAGCTTTTTCGGTGCCTAGAGCTTGGATCCACAAATAATATGCTTTTTTTCTGGAAAAGGAACCGTCGTGAGGAGGTATGAGAACAAAAATTAAGTAGAGTTTTTATTTTCCTTGAGTTTATAAATTCTAGTTTCCAGTGTTATCTGAGATGACTGATTGGGCTGGCTCTTTGGTGAGTGGTATTTTTTCCCCCTGCAGAAATTAAGGGTCTTCTGTTACTTGCCACTTAGTTGTTCTAACTTTAGTTAGTTACTATTAGTATTGTTTTTCTAACATGTAAGGTGTTGTATTCTGCCTGTGTGACACAGTTTTATGTGTAGCAGTGACTAAGCCATGTTATGTTTCAGAGTGCATAGAATTTTGGGACAGTTTGTTTCAAGGTAGTGCTTTTCTCCGTTGGGTGTGTTATATGAACTTTAAAGCGCTTCTGTGTAGTGCCTGGGTTATAGAAGTGCCTGAAAACTAATGAAATATTGTAGTTGGAGTTCCTCTTTGGTGGGTGTCTGTGTTACCCAGATGGTATAACTACAGTGATGTGGGATGGATGTATAGGTTTGTTTGTTTTTTAAATTGCTAATATGTCCTGAAGGAGTAAATCTTCTCTGTAATATAAACAAGGTGATATCTGAGTATGTTTAGTCTGATAGATGGTATTACTAATTTTATGGGGATGTGCTTTATATTTATAAACACCTAGGCTTTGCATTTTCTCATGTTGCAGTCTGTACATATTATTTTAATTTTATCTGTGAAGTTAACAGTGGTGTGATGTGTTTTATAAATCACCTATGGGAGACCACGTGTTTGATGGACTTCTGAAGTTCAATACTCTACTTATTCCTGGTTAAAAGAAGCTGTCTACGATCCTCATTACAATCCTGCTCTTGTGTCTTACCCCCTTTCCACTCCGGTTTGTTCAGCTGCTGCCCCTGAATTCCATAGGGGATATTTGCTTGTAAATTCCTGTCCCTTTGCAGTAGAAAGTGGCAATCTTGTCCTTTTTTTCCCCCCCCTAACAAACTGTTCTTGTCTATTCAAGGTGGGTTAACTACCTTTTTGCCTGTGAATTGTTAAGGATAATCTTCTATGCTTTTACTGCTAGCTAAATCAGTTCAAGTGTCTCATCGTGTGGCAATTTAAGATGGTCTAACCCGGGCTGGTGTGACTTGTCTCCTCTCTTGAATAGTCCGTGCTAATTAGTGTTGAGCTGGCTCTGTTTCCTAATTGTCCAGATCCACGCGGGCTCCAAACTGCTGCTGTTGGTGCAAGGGAGCAGCAGAACCACAAACACAGTCCTGTGTGATGTGTGTTGTGCTTGTCCTTGAGCACACCTGTAAATGCACAGATGACTGTTAATTAATTCTTGTCAAGTAATTCACTCGTCTGTGCTAGAGACACAATTTGGAGGTTTTCTTATGGGGATGAACACAACGATTGGCTTTATAGGACCAACCTTTCTCCGTGGACAGATGCACATTAATATTACCACAGTCAAAAAATTTCAGGATGCCTTTGTCACTTGGCTTGTTCAGCTTGGAGAAGAAGAGGCTGAGGGGAGGAAAAGTTGTGATATTTTAATATTTTCTTCTTTTTGTAGTGCTTTTGCAGATATGTTGTAATCCATAAAAAAAAGACAGATTTGTCCAGAAATATGTTTATACTCCTTTATCTGGGAAAGTGCTTCACAGATCTTATCACATTTAAATGTTTTAACATTTAATGATTAAATTATAACATTTTAACGATTAAAGAAGAGTGGAACTTTAGAACAGATTTTTGAAGGCAGCTTTGGAGGAATTTGAGGAATATGCCTGAAAAGTTATATACCAACTATTGGAACTGAACCTTTCTGCTTCAACATATGAAACCTAACTTGAGAGGTGTGATATTAAAATACTATCCACATCACAGAAACTTATCAGAAAAAACAGTTTATTCCAGCTTTGTATTTATGCAGAGGATCTTATCTATGTAATGTACTATATTTCACTAGAGAGATTTCTGTCAGCAATAATTCATATATATATATATTTAGGCTGTGAATATCAACTATGAAATTCAATTCTGGAAAGCTGCATTTTGTAGTAAATGTTCCCAAGACTCACCAATCTATCACGTTGTGTGGAAGATCTGTGTTGAGAGATAACACTGAACAGCAGAAGGTGGGGTTACTGAAGATGGATTTCAGATGGGGGGATTTAAACAAGTACCTTGTTGTGGGTTTGGTTTTCTCTATATTTTTGAACTTTATCAATTTACTGAAGGGCTGTGGTTCTATAGATATTGGTGACTTTACAAGCTGCTGATAAATGTAAATGCATAAAGCATTCGTGTTTTAAGCTAGGGTGAGAACCAAGCTTTTTCCTTGGAGGGCATCCCTTTGGGTCTGTGCTGTTACACTGGGTCTCCCTAGGCTGCCTTGCTCCTAATGGCCATTAGCTCCTCATATGGCCCATTCCAGTGGATTCCTACCTTAACTGCAGCCACTGGATGACGAGCCAGCAAAACAATACCTCTGCTTCTTCGCTTTCCCAGGGCAGTCCTTAATGCTTAGCACGAAAAAAGTTGCAGCTCTTCACCTGTCCAGCAATGAAAGGCTCGACATGGACTTGCACAGGCTTGTAGGGCAGGTGCAGTGGCACCAGGACGTGGACGGTCACTCCCTTGTTTCCCTTCAATTGAAGCCACGATTAATGATGGTGTTACCAGCTCCTAGAAGAGGTTAGTTAATGGGAACTAACTGTGAGCTCGCTGAAGCAGCACTAATCTCCCTGAAGTGTCTGCCTTTGATCCGCTCGTTCTCTCTCAGCAAGAGAGAAATAGCCACGGGACAGGAGTGCTTCGTTTACAATCGTGTTAATTTTGCTTTAGGTTTGTCTTTAGCTGCTGGAGATTAATGAATCAAAATGGTGTTTAAATTTACAACGAGTTCTCTTCTGATCGCTTGGCAGTATTATTTCTGGTTGTGTTCTACTTTGATTACCTGAGCTGGGTCATCCA